TGTGTGTGTGTGTTGTGTGTGTGTGTGTGTGTGTGTGTGTGTGTGCGTGCGTGCGTGCGTGCGTGCGCGCGCGAGAGAGAGAGCGAGAGAGAGAGCGAGAGGGGGGGGGGTACTGAAGTGTGTCTTCATCTTTTTGCATAATTGCAAAATTGTGTGTGCATCAGCACCATGGACATTGTTTAATGATAGACAGAAAATGTACATTTGTTAAACGCATTACAATAGCTGAATATATCAATAATACTCATTTGGAAAATCACAACGCGTTTTTGTGGTGAAAATATAATAAATAAGAACATTTTTTAAAACACTCGTTTTAATACGTCACCACACAGCCATACTTTGACAGGGGAACTTACTTGTGAGAGAGAGGATGAAGAGCAGGAGGACAGCGCTGGAAGTCATCTCCTTTCCTGGAAGACCTTGCTACTTTCTTATATTGTCTTCCAAAAAAACTGCATCGACAGTGAACAGCTGAAATATACAGTGTTAATACTCCGTCCCGATATCGTAAGCCTTTTTACAACTCACTTCTTTCCACGCGGAGTGATCTCCTTTTACCGGAATACTCAGCAGCGCCAAACCATAAAAAAGAAACTTCTCTAATATGATAAAGAGGTTATTTGAAGACAATGTTTATCTGCCAGAGACAACATGTTGGTCTTTTATTTTATAGATGACTACTATAGAAGCTGTGCTGTCCATTGTGCGAAGCCACGGGGAAATTTAACCGATCCGAATACAGCTGTCCGACTGAGTGCCGCTCTTGTCGTCCATACAAAAAAATCCGTATTTAACTTCTTCTTCTCTGCTTGTAGGCAGCCACGCTCACCTGCGCTATTCCTTCGTCTCTGTTAAAAAGCAGACAAGTTTAAAATAAATTCGGCACAGTGGCAGAAAGAGCAGCGTGAGCGGGAAGGATACTCATTGTACATGTGTTTCCCACGAAACTCCGTGTGGCCCCGAGGTGAAGCCAGGAGGAGGAGGAGGAGGAGGAGGGTGTGTGTGTGTGTGTGTGTGTGTGTGTGTGTGTGTGTGTGTGTTCCTCATTGAGCTCCGTCACGGCTTCAACTGATGTAGACAGAGCTGCCGGTCGGTTAGCTGAGCCAGTGGTGCTGTGGTAGTCGACTTATCATGGCACTAAGCGAACACAAACTTCGACCAGAAAAGGAGGGAAACGCGCACGAGACCACATTACAGTGACCGTAACCGGACATGTGTTCGCCTATGATAGAATCTGTCAGTACTTGCATATTCATGTGAGCTAAAGGAGCATAAGGCTACGACATTCTGTGCTAATAGGGACACATTTACTCCAGGAATATTCGTTATATTATAAACAGAAAGCCATGCCGTGCCAGCTGTCACCAGAAGTTGTCATAATGTGAGAGGGGAGGGCTCTAGGGGGGAGTAATGGAATAATACATTAAACAAAAATACAACATCTAATAAAATATGATATTGCAGGATTTTAGAAAAGTAAAATACAGTAAAATATTTTACATCTTCAAAGTAATGTGTTGAAACCTACTTAAAGTACACCATCTATGTATATACATTTTCGTTATTGTATATGATTGACAGACGCTATATTTTCTTTCTTCAGCCAAGGACCCATGCAGAATAGAGAAAAAATACTGCTACCCCCTCATGAATGCAATCATTTGACTTAGCTTATTTTTATTTATTTTTTAAAGCAAGAAATAACCTTTTATTTATAAAAATATATATTGTGAAAATAATGACTGAATCATGAGTGCCAAGACCTCTGAGGGCCCACACACCCCATTCTGTTTCTCATATTTACATTGTATATACTGTATAAGCATTCTGTATTTATATATATATTAATTTAATTGGATTTACATTATCACATAAAACTGTAAGGGAACTTTTTTATAGACCCCAGCAAGATAATCTAATTGGGATCCTAAAAAATCTGTATTGATCCCCAATAACAGCATGCCCAGCTAAAGTGAAACCAAGCAAGACAATCCACATGCTGCACATTTTGGATTGCATCATCTGTAACAGCAACAATCTTTATCTTTTAAGATGACCTCAAACTTGTTTTTTTATTAATTCAAAATATTATTTCCACATGACACTTGTGTAAGTTGCATACTAGATGACAATCGCTCCGAAACGAGTTGTGATTCAGCAGAATCCTCTCCAGCTGTAAATGAGGTGAACACAGAAAATGTTCCCTCTTCAGCAGGTGAATGTAAAAATAGCTCTGACCCTGCATCATTTTGCATCGTGACAGCAACAAGAACACATTTTTTACCAGAGGGCGACTTTCAAATCAGGGCGTAGTGGGAATTGCTGTCACCACGATGTCTTTATTCATCCACCATCTGCAGCCTTTCTGTAATTCAACTCAGAAAAGAATAACTTCCAGTGATGTAGTTAGTTGTATTCCTATCAAACTGTTTATATTGCTATGTATTGATTGTGTTATGTTATCTTGCTGTTAAACACATTGAGCTGCATCTTTTCATAAAGTGCTATCCAAATAATGTTATTATAATCCTTACATAATCTCAGGGCTGCTATACAGAAACCCAGTGTGTGGGCCTCGCCTTTATATTCATACCAGGAGTTAGACCAAGTGCACATGGCTATAATTTGCCATTACACTAAAAGGAGAGTCATGTCGCAGGCCACTCAGCTGTAGGATTCACGAAAAAGAGAGAAAGGCTCGGTTGTGAAAGCAATAAAGAGGAGAAGACAGGGAGTCTGCACCTTTTTGAGATATTCCTGCTAGTTGCTCATGAATAACCCAATGCAGATTTACTGGCTGACAGGGGCCATAATAGATTCCAGGGGAATTGAGAGGGTCTTTAATTTGTTTTGTCACAAGTCACAAGCAAGATACAAATAAAAAAATCAACAATCTTGTGTCAAAAAACAAAATAAATACACGTTTTTGTAATTGAATCTAAATCAGACACACACACACACATTCTCCTAATGCACTCATAAAGCCTCCTAAAACAGAAATAATGATGTCACAACAAAGACTGATGAGAGATGTACTCCTGTGTCAGTGTTCATGGCTCTAGCATGTGCATAAATCCCTCACAGTCCACGCCATATAGCTAACACATTACTCTTTTACACGGTCCAGTGGACATTTCAATCCGCCATAATGGAAGTGTGTGTCTGCTTCGGTCAAGTCAACTGGCATGAGCACGCCACAGCTTACGGCAATTCCCCAACACCCTCCCTCTGTGACTCTGCTGTTCCACCACCCCCTCTCTCTGTAACGGGCTGCTCAACGACAGGAACCAAGATGATTCCTGACCCATTTATATATTTATAGTTAGGACATACTCTGTTTGGGGCTGACAATAATATCAACTTGTTACACAGAGGAGGAGTTACTGTGTCCGAGCTCCGTACTTGTTGGTTTTTTAATCTTTATTTATCCCCGATAAGGTCTGCTGAGTGTGCGTGTGTTGGTAAGATTGCTGAGCTTGCAACATACAACCTGCCTTTTCCTGTTCATAAACACACTCACACACACTCACACCTGGGTGAGCGCCTAATGTTAGAGCGGTTAACTGCTCCAGTGGTTGATTTGCATTATTTCATTAGGGTTGTTATAGAAAAAAAGCACCCTATAAGGATCTTTAATGCAGATATAAACAGTAAACAAAGAACATAAACTCAACCAAGCTACTTTGACTAAATGCAGTGTCAGGTTGTCTTTAAAAGAGAGCCTTCCCGGGCAACTCAGTATCACACTAAAATGTTGGGGCAGAGACAAAATAATGATTGACATTAAAGCAGCAATCATATCTTGATTTTACTCCGTATGGGTAAAGTTACAAACACTTTTTTACATTTCCCTGTAATGCACTTCTTACCATCGTCAAACACCATTAACTGTATTTAAGAAGTGGATGTAGCCATCGTTTTGTGTGTTTGTCTCGAGTTTGGCTTCATCAGCATCTTGTTTTTTGGCACCAGAAGCAACCAATTGTTTAGGTTGGAGCTGAGAAAGAGCGAGGCCCAGCGGGACATGTGCTATTAGCATAAGGATTGCTTGAATACCAGCAAACCCCAGCTTGCTAGCTTGGTTAGCGTAACTCAAATAAACTGAGATCTTAATTGGGTTGCTAATTGTGGCTTGCAAAAAACAGGCTTTGTGGTAGCGACCTGTCACTCAAAAATTGCCACGGCCACAATTTAATATAATTTCAACGATCATAATAAAATGGCCCTTTTAATACAAGTTTCACTTCAACTTTTTTTGTAGGAGCATTCTAAATTTGATATTTTAACCTTGGCCCCCAATCCTAAAGAAAAACTCTATGACATCACAATTGCAACATGTATACACTTAGTTTTATTAAATGATTTGGATAAACTGATACCGGGTCTTATGCCAGGTATTCATCAGCCCTCACTGCCCCAATCTCACCATGCTCAAATCACAAATCAAAACTCACCTTTTCAGAACTGCTTTTAATCTGTAGTTAAGGGTTAGGGGTATTGTGTTTTATATATTTAAAATGTGTTGTTTTTATGAATTTTTTACTCTGTAAAGTGTCTTTCCGTTTTATAGAAAAGTGCTCTATAAATAAAATGCATTATTATTATTATTTTTATTATTAAAAGGATTCTGGAGTCCCGCTTGTGCTAGCAGTGAGACTGGACCTCAGTTTTATTACATTCTATATTGCTTTATTATATTAATTTTTTTTTTTTCAATAAGCATATATATGTTATCCATATAGAGGGCACATTTTAATCCCACACGTAATATGGGTATATAGCATCATCCAGGGTTATTTTCTCTGCACGAACAGTAAGCTGACCATTTTAGTGGAGTGCTTCTTAAAATAAAAAAACCTAAAATAAGACGTGGCAAACAGAAAGAAGGCAGGGA